TAATCTGGCCTGGGGGGGGGTTATTGTAGCCTAGGCCTCTTTTCTACGAAATGACCCCTGCTACATGTTACATACTGAATAGTCAATTTCTTGGCTTCCACTTTGGTCATTCTTCCCTTATGAAAGTGGTATGTACTGCTGCCCTTGGGAGGTGTGCCCATAGGAGGGAAGACCATTGTGAGTAAGAGATGAAAGGTGCCACAGGAGGAGGGAGGCCGAATTGTCAAGGGGGGTGTGTGTGTGGCTCAAGTTGGCACAGCATGACCTACACAAAAGGAAGCAGAAATAAATATTCTTTGCAGTGAGAATGCGGTTGCACAGAACTGTAGACTACATAGGGGCTTCCCGGCACACCTGCATATGGAAGGTAGCAGAAGGGTACCTCCAGGGGTCATTTCCTGCAGGAGCGCAGAGGAGCTGGCAATCCAAAACAGTCCATTGGAGCCTGAGCGGTGGGTGCTGCAGGGATTTGAGAGGCTCTAACATACCTTTCATGCCAAGCATCACATTGTGCTCACTTAGGCTCGTAGCTGACAACTTCTTGCTCGGGGGGGGATGTTTTCCCTGGCGGGGGGGCTGCCATTATATGTCTGTGCGGTACTGCCACGCCGTGCCCATACTTTTAAATAATAACGAAATAATAAATCCTCTGCATTTTAATGTGTTTTAGTGTATTCGGGGGGGAGAGAAGGAGCAAGGCAGTGCTGAAGTGGCCTGCATCTCAAAGGTCCAAGAAACTTCAGCATCGCCTTGAGCCCCTTCGTCTCGTGGGGACGCCAGTGCGTCAAGGTGCTGGCGGAGCCAGACGAAGCAAGGTGCCGCTTAGTGGCTTGGATCGACGGCCCGGCTTGTGTTGTTCCCTTGTTGGCCGAGGCAGGTGGGAGTGTGTAAGGCTGGGGAGGAGGGGACGGTGCCTGTGGTCTCGGCTCGCCAGGCCTTCGTTGGTGTGGGGGGCGTGCCGGCGCAGAGAGGTTGAGAGGAGGGAGAGGTGCCCAGGGTGAGCAGTTCGCTGTCCCCCCCCCCCCAGCCGCTCATGGCCTCTTTGTTACCCGGGTGGGACAGGAATGGCTCGGTGCTTCCCGCCAGCGGCCCCTCCTGCGGTTACTCTTGTCCCCCTCCCCGCCGGGAGAAACGCTCAGTGCCCCCCCCCCAGCCTCCCCCGCCCCGGCGGGCCTTCCCCCACCCCCCCCCAGCCGCTCATGGCCTCTTTGTTACCCGGGTGGGACAGGAATGGCTCGGTGCTTCCCGCCAGCGGCCCCTCCTGCGGTTACTCTTGTCCCCCTCCCCGCCGGGAGAAACGCTCA